ACTTAATTATAGGCTTGTTTGCGGGAATTTCAGCCTTTTAACAGCTATAGTTTTAAATATAACACAGTGATTAGAAACAGTTATTAACGGGTTGGTGCAGTTATTCCCCTTGAGTCCCTAAAGGAGAAATTAGAAATCCTATTTGAAGATGAAATATGACCACTAGAGGATGTAGTCAAGATCCTGAATGAGTGAGGCATACTGTTCCTCACTCATGCTCTGTAAGACCAGCCAGAAAATAGAACAAATACTTTCTGGAATATTTGGGTGGACAAATGGCAATCCAGAAGTCAGGGAGAATTTATCAACCCAGTAGTGTAACTGGGATAGCCCAGAAGTAAATCCACAAGCCCTGCTTTCAGTTAATTTTTCTTCTCTTGCATATTCTGTGGGTTTTTCCTCATTTTCTTTCGTTAGTTGTTCCTCCTTTCCCTACATTATCTGTTCCCCCAATCCACCCTTCCAGTATCCTTTGCTAGTGGTTACCTTCTCATCCTGACAATCTCAATAAGGCATTCACTCTACCAGTTGAACCTGGGATACACCTATACTGACATTTATGAATACCTTTGATTCAGCTAGTTATTGAATGTATTGAATAACAAACCCAAATTATTTTTTAAAATCTCTCTCTCATTTTATATTTATTTACTTACTACTTTATTCAATTGATTTTTCCTTTCCCGATCCATCCGGCCCTCAGCCACAAACACTTGCTTAATCTTGCTTTCTCTCTCATAACCACAATTACTCACCCACAACTAGAAGATCATGCTTATTTAGGAAATTACTTGCAATTTGGAGAGGGGAAAAAGGGATACCAACAACAACAACAACAACAAAATCCAGGACCCAAATAGGAACTACTGGCTGTTGATTGATATATCAGTGATGTAAAAAAAACCCAACCAAAATTAACCTTTGAAAATAATATGCCTTAAATAGACTTGAAGACAGACTGCCAGTGCTGCTTATCAGTAGGGAGAATTCTCTGCTAAAACACAGGGACAGGTGATTGATATGCCTCCGTGATTATCACAATGCATTTAAACTAAAGTAAAGAAGATTGTTTCAACTCAGACATGTCTTGTTTTAACTCTTCAGTATTTTATTTGAAAAATATTATTTGTTTCTTTATACTTTCCCTTGGCTATGGTGGATGCATTTGTCCCTTTATTTGCATCTCAGTAAGTCAGGCTTTCCTAATCTGTGTATGAATATTCATCTAATTTTGCTGCTGGTATCTCTTATTCAACTTTGGCTGAGGCCTGGATTTTGCAGTTGAAATCATCACACATCTTGGCTTCATTGGGCTAGGGAAGGTCATAAGGGTCTTCCTTCATAAAACCTGTATAGAATTGCGGCCCGAGAGTGTAGATTAACATATTAAAGTATATGACATAGAATATGCAATATACAACATCAGCTGATTAACATTATCTCTGAAGCTTAACTTTTCCATTTTCCCTTATTTTACAGTTTTAGTGCAGACTGCTAACCTCATTTTTGTGTTTAATTCTAAGAAGTCAGTTGTGAGGAAAAAAGTTGATAATGGCTAAATTCAAGAGATCCAACATCAAAAGAAATTTTCAACATTTAGACAAAATAAAACCAGGTGTGAATAAAATATCATATTGCAATAGTAAGTGTTATTAAAGCCATTAAAGTATATTTGAATCCGGTGTTCTATTCATTTTCAAAGCTGACATTTGTAAATGTATATAGGCAGGACTCTTGTAAATTTAAAACAGAGCATTAGGACTTGCCCTGGAATCTGTAGCACCATCATACTGTATTTTGTTGATACATAATAATTCATAATTTTGTGTCTTTCAGCAGGGGCCATCATATTTTTATAACTGAATAGTATCCTTGTTGGTTAGCATATGAAGTAAGAACAAAAATGTTACTAAAAAGAGATGTTTGCAGCATCTCGGCAGAGTTATGTAGTGTCTTTGATAGCAGACTTCGTTACATATCCTCAGTATCTGTTCTAATGAATGGTCTTAAGGATTCTTTTTGTAATTTGCTAACTGCTTTTAAGTTAGAGCTGTTGTAGTGCCATCTTGTCCCTTTGATAAATGTCGCAACAGTGTGAATCTTAGACCGCCTTTCTGTCATTTTGAAGGAAAATAGGAGAAGTTGTATTATCATTTCTGTCTATGAAATTTATTTCTGAAGTGAATGCCATACATATTTCTGAAATGATTGCCAAATGTATTTTCTAGAAGTGAGTGCCATTGAAAGCCAGGGCAGGCAATTTATACCGTGCATAATAATGATATTAATTTTTATGGTGTGTATAAGTTACATTTTGATTAGTTTTTTGCATGATTAAAAATTTGCAAAGCCTTTATGGCCCCCAGGAGCCTACCTGTAATAAACAGCTCTCACCTTCCAAACCATAAAACAGGTCTGCAGTACTTGAACATTAGAGCTAATTGCCTTGCTACATCAAAGGGAGCACCACAAGACTGAGAAAAATCACAGGAGGGGGGGCGGGGAGCGGGGGGCAGTTTCACCTCTAAAGGTTATGTGTTTGTGGCTTGGTGGAGCCCTGTAAAGTTATGGCCTCAGAACTGCTGTTTGCGATTAAGTTGATGGGGAAAGTCTATCCCGCAATCTCTCCCTGCTGCTGACACAGAGTCTTTGTTCACATTCAGATTTCTCAAACTGTTGCCAGGGTCAGGCTGAGGTCAGACACCACGATGATGTATAGGAGAACATGTCTGGGAATTTCTCTCACACTTAAAACACATACCAGAAAAACAGGAGAGCACCCTGCAAAAATTGTCTGATGAGACCCAGATGATACTGTAGCTTTTCTTTTAGTACCTTCATAATTTTCTTTCTCTTTGCCTGACACACATACAATGTTTTATTAATGTGTGCCACGATAGCCCTTACAATTTTATGTCCCCTCAAGATAAGGACACTCAGTAGCACTTTGACACTTCATTTTCCAGCCCAGGGGGATTGGGCCAGTAAATCTAGTAAAAGCAGCAATGCGTCCATTCCCAAGGATGATTCGGAAAGGGATTGCCATCGGCTCCATGAGGCCACGGGGCCTGACACTGGATACGAGCCTCATGTGTGCGCGCTCGGCATTAACACAGCCCGAGCCAGGCATGATCACAGGCTCACAGCATCCCGAACCGCGCTCCCCTGCCACCCTGACAAACACAGCCCCGCTTCCAGCTGCGGCAGGGATGCCTACCATGTTTGATTAGCTATCATCGTGGGAGGGGGCGGGGGGGAGCACTAAAACAGCACGAGGGGGGGGGTCCATTCTGATGGAAATTTCTTTTTTATGTGCAATTGTTTCTAAAAGAGGGGACCATCCTTCTCCCTCTATTGTTCCAAAAAGTGGACGCCATGCTTAGTCCTAACATGTTGTATTTTGATGTCAATGCAAAACACATTGATCCGTGGTTGAGATTTGTTGGGGGTTTTGGGGGGCTTGGTGGGGGTTTTTTTGGTGGGGTTTTTTTTGGTTTGGTTTCCAAAATTGTAGCTGTGTTTTTCTCTTCTGATTTACAAAAGGTTTCGCAGAGGGTTGAGAACCGGATAGGTTCACCACATCGATCTGAGGGTTGTTTGCCTAGGCATACAGTTTCAGTGCATGGCTGGCAAGTAAGGCACTAAGCAGCAATTTTTTTGTGCTCAGCTGCTACATATGACAGAGGATATTTCATTTGGCTGTCAGAATGTTATTAATAAAACATGGGGTGCGAAGAGGGCCACTATTTCCCCTTTCAATCACTATAGCATTTACAATGAAAATTTTATGCAGTGTGTAATTTTCAGTTAATGCTTGACACTTAAAATGTCGGTAGCTGCATTTTGTATGGTTCCTGAAGGGTTAATTGTATCATGTTCCCTGCATAAAAGCTCTGCTTATCAAAAGTGAATAGAAGAGTGTATGCAAATGTGTGTCTGTGACCTTTTGCCTTTCCAGGGTTAATTTATATGGTCATTAAAGATTTTATGAAATTGAGCGGCCTGGTGCTTCGAATCCCATTTTACCTTCACCTCCTAATTTATACAATTCCTACCTGAGCTGGGAAATATGATTTTTATTTTTTTTGTGTGCGGCAATGAAAACAGCATGCTGTGCTATAGGGAGTTGCAAGTCAGGTTATCTGGCATTACTCAGATTGCTAAAAATTCATTAAAATGTGACATCAGCACAGTGAGAGACAAATGATCACAGGATGAAAAGGAACAGTGGGCCTTTCACGGATTAGTGCTACACAGCCCCAGCATAGAAGCTAACTGCATAAACAGATTAATCCACCAGTAGCAGCATAGCTAAGATTTACCGAATAATTAAATGGGCTTGAGTTACTGTGAAGATTTCCATGTAATCTAGCTGGTGTGAACACGTAAGTGAGGTGTGGGTAATGCTGCTTCCTCAGAAGCCATATACCAAGTTGCATCATTTATCCTGAATGGCTCCCCCTGGAGACAAAATTTGAGACTTCGCCCGCAAAGCCAGAGGTTTATATTTAATACAGTACCTAATACCTAATACTTACTTACTGCAATTAGCGGGATACTGCTGCACTAACAGGATTTATATTTGAATTCCCCCCCTTCCCCCCCCCCTTTTTTTTTTTGGCTCCCAGATGCATTTTTAGATGTGCTTGCTTTTGTTCCAGGCTCTGTGTGCGCGCGCGCGCGTGTATTTTAACACAAATCATTTCTAGCCAAAGAATATGAAATGACAGGCCTTAAATCTGTCACACTGGTGGAAAGCGGGTACTCTGATAAAGACACGGTCAGAATTTCTGGATAGATTTCAAAATATTGCAACTTCTTCGTAATTAATGGCCAACCTCTTTAAAGTGCTGTTCTTTCCCTTTTCTTCTCCCCACCCCTCCTTCCCCCTGTTTTGCCACCCTCTGTTAGTGCTGTTCTTATTACAGGACATATTTTTTAACTGCTTTTAAGTGGTCACTGAGTTTCTTTTCTAAGATCTTTTCTGTGCTTATCTGCAGAAGAACAAGGTGAAGATACAGAAGGGTCTGCTAAAAGTACATCAGTGGCTGTGACTGATGATAAAGACTCAAGTGAGAGAGACAATAGTGAAGGCAAAAAATCTAGTAAAGACTCTGGTAAGATGCTAGAATTTTGTTTTCCCCCTTTTTTTAACTTATGAAATGTTCTTTCATTTTAAACTGTCTGGACATTCCCACTACTATTCATTTCATGTGCATTTTGCATGTGATTTCTATCAGTAGCCTCCCATTGACCTATTTTTAATCATAACCATCTGACAGGATAGATGCGGATAAGTTGAAGAATATTACAGGACGACCAGTGAGATTATTTTTTAATCAAATCAGTTTGTGTGCTTGTAATTTTTTAAGCGCCTTTCATTAATCTTAGCTGTACTTGTGATTCCTCTGATGGCATATTAATTTTTCATAAGCATAGGATTAGGTACCACTTGAATTTTTTCTTCAATCAGGTTTTGCCCCCCTTTTAACCCAAAGAATGTGGGGGTTTTTGTTATTATTATTTTTTGCTCTTGCTCTCTGATCAGTTACTCCCAAGAATCTGGCCTCTTCCTGGGCATTTATTTGAGGCATTTTGAAAAAAATACACAAAATCCAGTGAAAAAGTTTACAGATGATTCAGCCTAAGAAAGAGGAAATATCATTGAAAACGGATTATGGGTTGGGTAATTTTGATCTCCTGGAATAGACAAAGCCCAGTAATGAAAGCTACTGTCTTTGAAAACAAAACCCCTATGTCATGACATTTACTTGTGCACAAACAAACCCAGGGCCAGCATCTGGTGTAGATACCCAAGGCTTTTTCTGTGTTTGATTTGGCAAATATGTGACTTCATCCATGCTTTTTATGTATGAGATGGAAATCTATGGTCACAATGAATATTACATTGGCTACTTTTGCCGCACGCTATACCTAGTTACATTATGTTGGATTCACTGAAGCAGAAGAAGTGCTGAAACAGGTTGAAGCCTATTAGTTTCAGGTAGTCATATATCTTTTCCTTGTATGCCAATGACAGCAGCATACAAAGGAGGTTGTATTCTCCATAAAGACATATAGTTGTAGAGAAAATATCATTTTACGTATGAGTTTCTTTACACCTGAATTCTCCCATACTGTAATTTGTTCTTTACATATTAAACATTTCTGGATTTATTTAAAAAAAATATATATAGATGGCCCTTTCCATGCCAAATCAATTCAGAAGGCTGACTTAAAGATTAAAGCTTCCTTTAAGTTTGCTTGTTGAGGTGCTGAGGTCAGTACCCATCACAGTTTAGAACCTCAGCTGCTCTTCAGTCGCTTTATTTTTTGAGATCAAGAGAGTGAAGAAAGGCCGATGATGACAAGGACGATGTTGAGCAAGAAAATGTGTTGTGGTTTAAAATACATATCCCCCTTGGCTGGCTCTCTGATTTGGTAAATACTGTCTGCAGTGCAGTAAAGCCATGCTCCCAGGCCAATATAGATGCTCCTGTGCAGTCTCATCAGGGGCTGTCCTGGACACTCACCAGGAGAGAGGTGACAGCCACCTCCAGCCCCCATTTCCTACCATACACTCTGCCTAGGGGATGCTGTGAACTGCTGCAGGGATTTTTATCAATCAGCCCTCTCTTTTTCTTAGGCAGGTCCATTTAGAGTTGTTCAAGAAAGAATACGGTATTAAAGCTCCAGCAAAATAAATGATGGAATCTAGAAAAAAATACTGAAGGGGAATTCTCAAAATTCCATCAGGATTAGCCACTCATAAGGGCCAAGTTTAATTAGGACAAACCTATATCCAGATGCCTACTGGGTGCACTACAAAAAACCAGCATAATTGTTCTGCATTCCCGTGCCAGCAATTACACAAATAACTTTGCTGTAAGATTCATATAAAAACAAGGGCTAAAATACATGATTGCCTTTGTGCTTTGCAGAAAATAGTTTGTACTGTAAAATCCTAAATCTTTTAGAAACTTTTATTTTCCTAATCTAAATTAATTCTGCATATGTAACATTCAGACCATCATCTTAATTTTCACTCAGCTGACAAGTATTTCTAATGACTGCATAACTGCTTGTGTATAATTGAATGTTAATTTAGGCTTTCTCATGAACTGAGTGTTGCAAGTCTTGCCAAAGAAATCTCAGGAAAACCAATAAATTAATCACAATACTAACAAGTTAGACAGGAAAGTGGTGCGACCCCTCTTTAGCATAGAATCTATTAGACAAGAAAGGATTAACATGTATTTAGTAACAGTATGTTTGTGTAAGCTGTTGTGCTGTATTGCTTACCTTATCTCAAGGAGTAGAGCTTTCAAAATGAGACTTGGCAATATGCAAGTTATATTTGTTGAATATTCATTCAGAATAGAAAAGCCTGCTAATGCCTCATTTATATTGTCATTTAAATCTAGTGCCACTTTAGATTAATTATAATCCAAATTACAGCTCTATGCAGTGCAAGAATTAATATGGAATTTATCCAGATTAATACATTTGCATTGAAAATGTAATATGTCTCTGCCATGGCTAAGGGGAGCACTTTTTAATAAGGTAGTAAACATGAGGAAGGATGGAAATTAACCTTCATTATTGCAATGAAAATTATCCTTTCATTCTACTCTAATTAGAAAGAATACTCTACCAGTAATTATAATTTTAGAATTATTTTGAGGCTGAATAACATCATCTGATGTGTCAGAAGTCTTAACTTATGCAATCTTTATCAAATACATAGATTCATAAATAAGTAAATACTATTTCGATTATGGCTTTTCCAGGGTTTTTTTTCACTAGTATATGTATTTTATTAACTTTCTCCTTCTTGTTAGTTACACAAACATTTTTATTTTTATTTTGGGGTTTCAAAAATGTTACAAAGGTGATGACATCTGAATTGCAGTCAATTATGTCATTTGTATATTAGCAATCCTACACAAGTTAAATAATTCTGTAACTGACAATCATTGACTAGTCTATTTCATGGCACTTATTTATAATTAAACTTAGTTTGTGAGCTAAATGTATTGAAATTACATTAGTCATCTAAAATAATGCTGTGTATTTTATATTATAAAATGAATTGCAGTTGTGTTTCACAATTAGGAAAAAACCCAACAAATAATGTGTCTCAAGAATAAAAAGTGCACATTTAAAACATGAATAACAACTAGATTTAGTCTTTTCCTACAACTGCCTAGTAAGAATAGCATGCCAGTGGAACATCTAGCTATGAAAACAGTGCCACACAGCATGCTTGGGACCATAATATTTTCTCTCCTTTCTCCCTCCTCTTTCAACACCCTTCCTGTAAGACCGTAACTTTGTTCAGCCTCCCTACAGGAAGCTGCTTAAAACAGTGAATTCAACACGGAAAGCAGAAAGTTGATACAGCAAGACGAGGCACTGAGTTGTAATAGCTGGACCATTGCGTAAGGAGCCAATCTCTTTTGGTTTTGGCACGTATACTCTGGCTTGGGGGGGGGTCGGTCCTCGTGCAGGGGCGAGCGGCATCCCCGTGCCAGAGGGAAGAATCAACCTCCCTTTTTTTTTTTTCTGCAAAGCTCACCATAAGTCATGGACTCGGTTACTTTACTATAGGCCAGATGTAACTTTGGTTGCTTAAGAAGAAACAGTGCTTGGGGTTGAATGAATCCAGAGCAACAACAACAACAAAAACAACAAAGCCTCTGTAACTTTCGACAGTTTATATAAATATCATAGTAAACATAATAAAAAGCTGTGCTTTGTTATGCATTTATTGACCCCAGCACAGTGTTTTATAACTCTACGGTTTTATTATATTAACCGCAAAAGAAAATTTAACCAAAAAACCCCCTTGTTTTTATAGAAACAAGAACTATGTGTTTCATGATTATTATAGGCCCTTTGAAGTAATTAAGTTATTCCATCCTGTGGTGGAAGATGATATGTAATATTAACCCTGTGTGTGCCCAGGCGCACACAGAGTGTGCTCCACGGTAAATTTCACTAGCAGCTAAAAACCACTGCTAAAACACATTTAAATGCACTTGCACAAGTGAATTTAGGAGCAGAATTTGGATCCTAATTTCTGTAACAACCTGTTGAGAACAATCTAGCATGATGAGGGGAAGAGAAGGCAGAATTGGTTTATTTTGGTTTTGAAATTCAGCTTCCTGTATAACAGTGTCTGTTTACACCAGCTGAGATTTTGGCCAATTTGTCTTTAAAAAAAAGGGACGTTTTAAAAGTGACATATGATAAAGGTAAGAAACAGTAGTCAATTGTTAGACGTTTTTGACAGTTGGAAATGAAGAGAGGTTAATAATTTGAACCTATCCTTCTAAAACCTGAGAAGCAACCTTTCTCTGTTAATGTAGTATGTCACGTTTTTACTTCCCATAATTCTCATGGTTAAGACATTTAAATAATAATGGTGTATTGCCAAGTAAATACAGATAGGCCAGGGAGTACTGTATTATAAACCGAAGTGAGTAATAAGATGGTGCCTTATGTGATTGCACCATGTAGATTTTGTCTTTAAGCATCGCTAGTCCTTCAGGTCATCAGCACAGCACTAAATGAGGCCTCCAGGATCGGTTCCTGAGAGTGTAAAAATTCACTGGGGCTCCAGGAGGCAGCTTGTTCAGATATTAAACCGATGTTGACAAACTGGTCATTAAAAATAGGGAAATATGGCAGGAATAAACTTTAATTTGAGCAAGAACATGCAAAATTTACTGATCTAAATTACAGCAAAAGAAATAATTAGCAACTTAGGAATGAAAAACAATGTGGGGGAAAATCACCATTAATGTGTAAGTCGTAAAGTATGTTTATGTTTTTTTAAAAAATGCCCTTCAGAAAATGTCCCTGTATGATTCAGTTTTCAATTGTTTATTATTGTACCATGAGGATTTGGTATTTACCTTGAAAGCTGTTCTCTTATTTTACTTCACTTTAATGTTGCTCTTGTAATATCCAATATTTCACAAAGTCTATATGAAAATAATAAGAATAAAAAGTTCTTGGGTTTGTCTACAGAAATATACAAGTATTTTCTTTGTTCATGTTTACTTTGTTGCCAAAACATCCATGACCTTATTTTTAAATTAATCCTAGGTTATTGTGCAATGAGGTGCCATTTGTTCATTTATATGAACCTTATGTGGATTGAAAAAAATCAAGATAAATCTTCATGCACAGCATACAATCAGATTACCCCTGGACTATATATTTACGTTGGGTCTGATAGCAATCAATGGTTTAGCTTCATTGCATTTCAAGATGTATTTGCACCCAGTGTCCAGTGATAGTGTCCTCACCCTGGAAATAATTTAGTTGCAAATTGACTGGAAGATGGTGAAAATTGAAAGTTAAAATTAGAAATACTCATAATAAACAGCAGAAAAAAGGTCAGATGATGCCGCTCTATGATGAGATTGGAATGGTTGGTAAATGAGGTTTTGTGTTTGTCGTGAGATGTATGTGACATGCCTACCCAATGCTCTTGTAATATCCAGCCTAGCAGAAGAGATTATCTGGCAAATTGACGCTGGAAAGAATTTTCTGATGGACTGGGAAATTAGAATTGCACTCTTTTCTTTGATGTGTGCAAGACTGGGCCACATTACACAGCTAGTTCAGGCATAATATTAAATATAGTATTTAATACTTAATAGTAGAACTATCTATAGAAAACAATCATTTTCTGGTTTTGATCACAAATGCCAGACTGTAAAAATTCACAGTGTAAACATCTAAGGCAATCCCAAATGACTGATCTTTGTATATAATTAATATTAAGTTAGCTCTGAAATCCTATTCTCCACAGTATTTCTTTTAAAGCCTCACTATATTTAGCTTCAGAATTGTAACCAGGCAGGAGTTATCAAAACAGCACAATAATCATATTGCTCAGACAGTTTAGAAAAGAGAGAGGGTAATTAAACAGCAGCAAATTAATTATTTTGGAAAACAAGATTTTTAAGCAAAAGCTGATTTGTTTTAATGTAATACACAAATTCATACTGAGCTACTAAAGAAAGAACATTATTGATTCATCTTTAAAGGCAACCTAAGGTTATCTAAACAGTAGAGAAGAGTCCATTTTTAAATGTATTTATAGAGTCTCCATCAAGGATAAAAGTGTATTTTCACCTTTGTGCTTACCAGAGTTGTTTTATTCTTTATGTTTATATTTTTTCTCAGAACTTAAAAAAAAAAAAAAAAGACCCTCAAAGACAATACAGAGCTTTGGAATCACAGCCTCTTTGTAAACCAGGATATTTTAAAATTTAAAATATGTTCTTAAAAATTATGTTTTTGGAACAGGAATAGTCACACCAGAGAAGGAACCAAAATTGAACACTGTGGTAGGGGCACAACAGCTTCTTCTGGCAAAAGAAGAGGATGGTGCAGCTAAAAAATCAAAGCCTCCAGAGGACAATAAATTTTGTCATGAGCAGGTAAAAGAAAATGTAACAATTTAATTGCATTCTAGAACTCTTTCAAATAACTCAAGAATGAAACAGAGATGATATGCTGTTGAAGTAGCAATATCAGCAAGTTACAAAAAGCACACTGACTAATAGCCTTCATCTTGATTTTTTTCAGTTCTATCAATGTCCTTATTGTAACTACAATAGTAGGGACCCAAATCGTATCCAGATGCATGTCCTGTCACAGCATTCAATGCAACCTGTTATCTGCTGCCCCCTCTGCCAGGATGTCCTCAGCAACAAAATGCATCTCCAGCTTCATTTGACCCATTTGCACAGTGTGTCCCCTGACTGTGTGGAGAAACTGCTCATGACAGTAAGTGTTCCAAATACTGATGCACATGCTACAGAAATGTACTTGGGCCTCTGGGCAATGTACTTGTCGTGACATAGTATTCAGGTAGCCCGAGGAGAGGAGGGGAGTGGGTCAGGACTCTGAGGTTCTGTTGCCAGCTCATCCAGTGACTGACATCCCTTGGGAAAATGACTGAGGGTGGATTTCAAAGATGCTGAAAACCTGCAGTTCCTCATTGACGTTAACCTTGGAAAAACAAAGCCTGTCCATGTCTCTAAGTGCACACCTGCAAATTGGGTCTAATAATATCCAGGTCTCAGAGGTATTGTGACTTCTGTTTGTAAAATAATAGGAGTTCCCTGCAGAATGTAGTTCCCAAACACAGAAGGATTCCTATGTATAGCTGGGCTGTACTTGCGTTTTATTACATGAAGTTCACTGTAAAATATCAATAGTCATGCTAATTGGAGAACATGATTATCCTGTTTCTTACTTTCTGCCTCTGTATAAAATACCTTTTAGTTCTTTGTGAATAAATGTGAGTATGAAACAGAAAGGCAAGTCCAAGAATAGGTAGGAATCAAGTTAGGTCAGTTCTCTAGGATATGGCATATCTGATTTCAGGTACCTACCCTGGATCATGCAGGGACTTGAACTGGCTTCCCCATGATTGGGATGAATGCTATAACCAGCAAACTATTTGGAGGATGAAACACATTCCAACCTCACCAGGAGAATCCCGTTCTTCACTACAAAATTGTACAAACCATGTCAAAATAATAAATTTTTCTGAAAAATAATGACTCAGCACCATTCAAAACAATGTCAGTAAAGACACAATCAGATCTAGAACGTATTTATTATTACAGTATAGATTCAGTTAGAAAATAGACCTCCTAAGACACCCTGATTCTGGTTGTCTTGCCTTTTTAGAAGGAAATGCACTTGGAGATCTCAGGCATCCACCTCCTTAGGGATTTATTTCTGTATCCATAGATGACTCCTTCATTTATATGGTTGTGGTTGTAGGCCTACCACCTCATTCCCAAGTAAAGTGGGAAAAAAATAGGAAAGAATTAAAAGAGCTCTCCCCTGAAGGTCTAGGGTTCCTTGTGCCTAGTGCTGATGAGCAAATACAGAATTGGGGATTATTCTTTTCTTTTCCTTGGTTTTCTACTAACTATAGCTCTGCCAGACCATGTAATTTTGGCCCACCACAAGGCAAATGGAGTAGAAATTTAACTTTCCCAGACCTTTTTAGGAAACTGGAAAAATGTGGACACCACTCCCCCCCCCCCATATTGAGCAGCATCAGCCATCTTTTCAAGTTCTTTGTGATTCCCTCTATGCTGATAGTGGGGCAACTTTGAAAGCTCTCCTCTCCTCCCCAGGTGCTGGGGAGTTGTCAGCGAGGAAAGCCAAAAGTTTGTTTGACAGAGAAAGAGACTGCAAAACATAGTCTGCATCATCTAAATTGTCCTGGTTGCTAACACTAATATGCTCTGTCCATATCTGAACTCTCTGATGACAAATACCTTTATTAGCAAATTTTTTTCTCTGGGATATTTACAGTTATCTACATAATTTTTTTTAAAAGTCCTTCCCTCCCAAATAAACTCAAAGACACTAGTCCTCTGAGAGGATGCTATTAATGCCATGTTTAAATTACAAATATACTAAGCCCTGGGCTTTTTAAAATAAGTCTAGAATATTTTTTTCCAACAGGCAATTGATGTACATACATACATACATAGATATAATTCTTATGTTTCCTAATAAAGGTTTAAAATAATTTGTTAAACTGTTAAAGAGGAACAAAAGGTGTTTCTACCCATACTTAGTAATGTATGCAGCTTCTATTATTGTAGTAATTTACCACCCAAAAATGTCTCCTATGGATATTCTTGTTACTGCTCTATGAAGTAAGGAAATACTACCCTTATGTTAGAGATGAAGAGCAGCAGCATGGTCTGAACTGATTTATCCAAGGTCATTTAGACAGACTCTGGTAGTGCAGGAGTTTGAACCCAGTCCTGCTAAGTCTTAGCATGAAGCCCTAGACAATCCTTTATTTCAGATATGAGTATGTTTTAACATTCCAAGCAGAAGGAAGACATGAAGTGTTGAGCAAATATTCATGTCGACTGAACTAAACTGAGCACTCTCAGACACCTATAAGAATACATCCTTAAGAGATTTCTGTCTATAATTTGAAAGCATAACACAACAGGTAAAGCAGTATGAAGAAGATACATAAGCAATTGAAGACAAGAAAGAAAAATCTTATTTTAAATGGAAGTAAGTTGCTATTTCTGTATGGAAATAAACTTACATTTTTCTTTCAAAGATCATGGAAGGTCCAGCATTTGTTTAAAAAACAATACAGGTGAAGAAAAGTGGGAATGCCCTCAGTCAAGAACTGACTGGTGACCTTATCGCAACATGATCTCCGTCTTTGGAGGATGTCTGAGGAGAATGCCCCTGATAAATCCAACCAACCTGACATAGCCAGCAAAACCATCTTTGTGGTGACATTGAGACGAATGAAATATTGATTGTATGTAGTTCTGTAGCATCACCTTATTGTGGATTAGTTTGAGTTGATTCTCCACCAAGGGACACCCGATGCTCTGGATTTGTGGTCTGTCAGAGCCATTATCAAGGACCGAATCAAGATCTTGGTTTAGTATTGGCAGTCTTTGATCCAGACATGGTAGATCTTTTGAATTATAATTTCATACTGTTGTATAGTATTAAAGTGTGACTTTTCCTGTAATAATACTGTGTTCTTGGTTTTCAAAGGTTCCTGTACCAGATGTCATGATGCCCAATAGTATGCTATTGCCAGCAGCTGCTTCAGAGAAATCTGAACGTGACACATCTGCAACCATTACAGCTGAGGGATCTGGGAAATATCCAGGTATGCAAGAAAAAGCCCAAACATATAGAAGCTAGGTAGGGGCAGTTTAGAAATAAGCCACTTGTTTCTTTCTTAGTAAAGTGAATCCTTTTGGCTTGCATATAGCCACAGAGATAAAAAGAGAAAAATAACAAGGGGCCTGAATTTGGCTGACTGCACCTATGCAGAGTTACCAGGATGCACATGTATGCCAGAGTGTTTGCTTTTGGTGGAGGTGAAATTAAACAGTATTGCCTAGCCACTTTGAAGGTAAGACCCTCCTTGTTTAACCAGCAAATAAGACCCAGTCCTAAAAGACAGTGGCACTTTCACCAGCGTCGATGGGGAATGTTAGGCAAGCAATTCTCCCTGCATTTCCAATAGTAGGTTTCTTATCCTGGACACTTACTGTTTTCTGTGCTGGGAAGCTGCCTTGCTACCTCTCTGTCATGGTTTAATCCCAGTCAGCAACTAAGCACCACGCAGCTTCTCACTCACCTCCCCCCTTCAGTGGGATGGGGGAGAGAATTGGGAAAAGAAGTAAAACTCATGGGTTGAGATAAGAATGGTTTAATAGAACAGAAAAGAAGAAACTAATAATGATAATGATAACACTAATAAAATGACAATAGTAATAATAAAAGGATTGGAATATCCAAGTGATGCATAATGCAATTGCTCACCACCCACTGACTGATGCCCAGGTAGTCCCTGAGCGGTGATTCCCCCGCCCCCACTCCCCCCAGTTTATATACTAGATGTGACGTCACATGGTATGGAATACCCCATTGGCCACTTTGGGTCAGCTGCCCTGGCTGTGTCCCCTCCCAACTCCTTGTGCCCCTCCAGCCTTCTTTCTGACTGGGCATGAGAAGCTGAAAAATCCTCAACTTTAGTCTAAACACTACTTAGCAACAACTGAAAACATCAGCGTTATCAACATTCTTCTCATAGCAAACTCAAAAACATAGCACTGTACCAGCTACTAGGAAGACAATTAACTCCATCCCAGCTGAAACCAGGACACTCTTACAGCATGCTCCTCCCTCTCTCCTCAGACCACCTTCCTCCTCCTTTCTAATCACCTGTCCTACCTATTGTCCCCATTTCTACTCCCTCCGTCTTCCCTACTGTTTATTTCCTTGTTTGGTGCTCCCATTGTATGAGTAAACTCCTACCTTATGACAAAGAGAAGCCTTATGCCACTACTGGGCCAACTGCCACTGCTAGTCTGATCATCATGTTTGAATTTTGCTACTTCTACTTTTTTTTAACCTCCTGTTGGTCCTGTCTGCTTTATCCTCGGGGGCAAGGATGTGTTGCTATATTTTGCTAGGCCAACACATGGCATACCAGGTGCCTTACTTGATTTCTGATGGAAAAAAAATAAATTAATACTATGTGCTGTTCTCTTCTACTTGTGTAAAAGACACTTCACTTTCTTTAACTAGGTGAAAGTCCTGTGGATGAGAAAAGTACCCCTGGGATCGATGAATCAAAAACTGGAATGGAAATTAAGACTGAGGAACAGAAGCCACCTAAGGAATCTACTGAAACACCAGACTGGAATAAGAGCAGCAGTAAGGAGATAAAGACCACTGACTCAATGACGGATCAGCTAAATGAACAGCAGAAGAAGCAACAGCTCTCTGTTTCTGACCGCCATGTCTATAAGTACCGTTGTAACCATTGTAGCTTGGCTTTTAAGACTATGCAGAAGCTTCAGATACATTCCCAGTATCATGCTATTCGGGCAGCTACCATGTGTAGCCTTTGCCAACGTAGCTTCCGTACATTCCAGGCTTTAAAAAAACACTTGGAAGCAGGCCACCCTGAACTCAATGAAGCCGAACTTCAGCAGCTGTGTGCATCTTTACCTGTCAATGGTGAACTCTGGGCAGAAAGTGAAAGTATAGCACAAGATGATCATGCACTAGAACAAGAAATAGAAAGAGATTATGAGATGGACCAGGAAGGTAAAGCAAGTCCTGTAGGAAGTGATAGCAGCTCTATTCCAGACGACATGGGCTCAGAACCAAAGCGGACCTTACCTTTCAGAAAAGGGCCAAATTTTACTATGGAAAAATTTCTAGATCCATCTCGCCCATATAAGTGTACGGTGTGTAAAGAGTCTTTCACCCAAAAGAATATTCTCTTGGTCCACTATAACTCAGTGTCCCATCTACATAAACTCAAAAAGGTTTTGCAGGAAGCATCAAGTCCTGTCCCTCAAGAAACCAACAGCAGCACTGACAACAAACCCTACAAATGCAGCATTTGTAATGTTGCATATAGCCAAAGTTCTACATTGGAAATCCATATGAGATCTGTGCTTCATCAGACAAAGGCAAGGGCTGCAAAATTAGAACCAAGTGGTAATATAAGTAGCGGAAATAGTGCAGCAGGGAATGTTAATAGCCCCAGCCAAGGAATGCTAGAATCTATGAGCTTACCAGCAGTTAACAGCAAAGAAACACATTTAGATGCCAAAGAATTAAATAAAAAGCAAGCTTCTGAATTAATTTCTGCTCAGCCTACACATCACCCACCCCAGTCACCAGCACAACTTCAAATGCAACTACAGCATGAACTGCAACAGCAAGCTGCGTTCTTTCAACCCCAGTTTCTAAACCCAGCTTTTTTGCCTCACTTTCCAATGACACCAGAAGCACTGCTGCAATTTCAACAGCCTCAGTTCCTTTTCCCATTCTATATACCTGGGACAGAATTTAGCTTAAGCCCAGATCTGGGTTTGCCTGGTTCTGCCACATTCGGTATGCCTGGAATGGCTGGTATGACAGGATCACTGCTAGAAGATTTGAAGCAGCAGATACAAACTCAACACCATGTTGGCCAAACCCAGCTGCAGATACTGCAGCAACAAGCACAACAGTATCAATCCACCCAACCCCAACTTCAGTCCCAAAAACAGCAGCAGCAAAGTAGCAAGCTGATGAAAGCAGAGCAAAATACCTTAGTAAGTACAGACTGCCAGCTGATAAAGGATATGCCATCATATAAGGAGTCAGAAGAAATTTCTGAGAAACAAGAGAAGCCAAAGCAAGAATTTACTAATGAGAATGAAGGACTAAAGGAAAACAAAGACATGAAGAAGCCGAAATCCTCAGAATCAGCCATCCCACCACCCAGAATAGCTTCTGGAGCAAGGGGGAATGCAGCCAAGGCTTTGTTGGAGAACTTTGGATTTGAGTTAGTTATCCAATACAACGAGAACAGACAAAAAGTACAGAAAAAAAGCAAGACTGGTGAAGGTGAAAACACAGACAAACTGGAATGTGGAACCTGCAGTAAGCTCTTTTCCAACATTCTTATTCTGAAGAGTCATCAAGAACATGTGCATGGACAGTTTTTTCCATATGGAGCGTTAGAAAAGTTTGCCCGACAGTACAGGGAGGCATATGACAAGCTTTATCCAATTTCTCCATCTTCTCCAGAAACACCACCGCCTCCGCCGCCTCCTCCTCCACCACCACCACCTCCTCCTCCTCCCACTCCTTCTCAGCCTTCTTCAGCTGGAGCTGGAAAAATTCAAAACACAACTCCCAGTCCTTTGCAAGCTCCACCACCCACACCACCACCGCCACCTCCTCCACCACCGCCACCTCCTCCTCCACCACCGCCACCATCAGCCCCACCTCAAGTCCAGCTTCCCGTTTCACTTGATCTCCCGCTTTTCCCTCCAATTATGATGCAGCCAGTGCAGCATCCTGCATTGCCTCCTCAGCTTGCCCTCCAGTTGCCACCAATGGATACTTTATCTGCAGATCTTACCCAGCTTTGTCAGCAGCAGTTGGGATTAGATCCCAATTTCCTGCGGCACTCTCAGTTCAAGCGTCCACGTACAAGAATCACAGATGACCAGTTAAAAATCTTGCGGGCTTATTTTGATATTAACAATTCTCCTAGTGAAGAGCAGATCCAAGAAATGGCTGAGAAATCTGGTCTTTCACAGAAAGTTATCAAGCACTGGTTTCGTAATACGCTGTTTAAAGAACGACAGAGAAATAAAGATTCTCCATATAACTTCAGCAACCCTCCTATAACAGTATTGGAAGATATCAGAATAGATCCTCAACCTTCAGCTGTAGAACCTTACAAGTCTGATGCATCTTTCAGCAAGAGATCATCTAGGACTCGGTTTACTGACTACCAGCTTCGTGTCCTCCAAGACTTCTTTGACACAAATGCTTATCCAAAGGATGATGAAATTGAACAACTTTCAACTGTACTTAACCTACCTACTCGAGTTATTGTCGTATGGTTCCAAAATGCACGACAAAAAGCTCGCAAAAGTTATGAAAATCAAGCTGAAACTAAAGACAATGAGAAAAGGGAACTGACGAATGAGCGTTACATTCGAACTAGTAACATGCAATATCAGTGCAAAAAATGCAGTGTGGTTTTCCCCAGGATCTTTGATTTGATTACACACCAGAAAAAGCAGTGTTATAAAGATGAAGATGATGACGCTCAAGATGAAAGCCAAACTGAAGATTCTATGGATGCCTCTGATCAAACAGTGTATAAGAACTGCACAGCTTCTGGCCAAAACGACTCATCAAAAAGCCTGGCAGTTACAGCAGCAAGCTCTGGCTCTGGTTCTAGTACTCCTTTGATTCCATCACCCAAACCAGAACCTGAGAAGTCTTCTCCTAAACCAGAGCCCACAGAAAAACCAAAACAAAATGAAACCATCGCTAAGCAAACTGATACATCTTCCCAAAGCGCCAAACCAGTACAGTCTACTCCAGTAACCTCTTCTGACCCTCAGCCCTCAGCTTCTCAACCACAGCAACAAAAACAATCACAGATAGTAGGGAGACCTCCTTCTGCATCACAAACCACACCTGTTCCTTCCAGTCCTTTACCAATTTCAATGACTTCTCTACAGAACAGTCTACCTCCTCAGTTATTACAGTACCAATGCGATCAGTGTACAGTTGCCTTTCCAACTCTAGAACTTTGGCAAGAGCACCAGCACATGCATTTCCTAGCAGCTCAAAACCAATTTCTTCACTCACAGTTTTTAGAAAGGCCAATGGATATGCCCTATATGATATTTGACCCCAATAATCCTTTGATGACTGGACAGTTACTTAATAGTTCTCTTGCTCAGATGCCACCACAGACTGGCTCATCACATACGGCACACCCAGCTACAGTTTCTGGTTCCCTGAAACGAAAACTAGATGATAAAGAAGACAATAACTGTAGTGAGAAAGAGGGAGGAAACAGTGGAGAAGATCAACATCGTGATAAGCGTTTAAGAACTACAATTACTCCAGAGCAGCTGGAAATACTCTATGAAAAGTACCTACTAGATTCCAACCCCACGAGAAAGATGCTAGATCATATTGCACGTGAAGTGGGACTGAAAAAGAGAGTGGTACAAGTCTGGTTTCAGAACACAAGAGCCCGAGAAAGAAAGGGACAATTCCGTGCAGTTGGTCCAGCCCAGTCCCATAAAAGGTGTCCTTTTTGTCGAGCTCTGTTTAAGGCAAAATCAGCTTTAGAAAGTCACATTCGCTCTCGACATTGGAATGAAGGGAAACAGGCCGGTTATAGTTTGCCTCCAAGTCCTTTGATATCAACTGAAGATGGAGGAGAAAGTCCACAAAAGTACATATTTTTTGATTACCCATCACTGTCATTAGCAAAAACTGAATTATCAAGTGAAAATGAATTAGCCTCCACTGTATCAACCCCTGTTAGCAAAACTGCAGAAATGTCACCGAAGAACCTCTTAAGTCCTTCTTCTTTTAAAGCAGAGTCTAGTGAGGATATAGAAAATTTGAATGCCCCTCCTACTGACTCTGGATATGATCAAAACAAGACTGACTTTGATGAGACTTCATCAATTAATACAGCAATTAGCGATGCCACAACAGGGGATGAGGGGAACAATGAAATGGAAAGCACGACTGGCAGTTCAGGGGATGCAAAACCTGCATCACCTCCCAAAGAACCAAAACCACTTGTGAACGACACGCTATCAAAAGCTGCAACTACACCTACAAATGAGAATACCGATGATAAATTTCTCTTTTCCCTAACAAGTCCCTCAATACATTTCAGTGAAAAAGATGGTGATCATGACCAAAGTTACTACATTACTGATGACGCTGATGATAATGCCGACCGCAGTGAAACTTCAAGCATAGCTGATCCAAGTTCACCTAACCCATTTGGAGCTAGCAATCCCTTTAAATCCAAAAACAGTGATCGGCCAGGCCACAAACGTTTCCGAACACAAATGAGTAACCTTCAGCTTAAAGTTCTCAAGGCTTGCTTTAGTGACTACCGGACTCCAACAATGCAGGAATGCGAAATGCTAGGGAATGAGATTGGCCTGCCCAAACGTGTGGTCCAGGTCTGGTTTCAGAATGCACGAGCTAAAGAAAAGAAATTCAAAATTAACATAGGGAAGCCATTCATGATTAATCAGACTGGACCTGATGGGACAAAGCCAGAATGTTCTCTATGTGGCGTGAAATATTCTGCACGTTTGTCCATAAGAGATCATATCTTTTCCAAACAACATATTACAAAAGTGAGAGAAACTGTGGGAAGTCAGCTAGATCGGGAGAAAGATTATTTAGCTCCTACAACAGTTAGACAGCTGATGGCACAGCAAGAATTGGATCGGATAAAGAAGGCTACTGATGTGCTAGGATTAACAGTACAGCAGCCAGGCATGATGGACAGCAGTTCTCTTCATGGTATCAGTTTGCCAGCAGCTTATCCAGGACTCCCTGGCCTTCCTCCTGTTCTTCTGCCTGGAATGAATGGTCCATCCTCCTTACCTGGATTTCCACAAAGTTCAAACAGTAAGTCTATAAGGGGATGATTTTCTCATTTAATTAATTTGATCATCTTGCATGGTCACCATCCCCTTCTAAAACACAGCATATTATGCATTCATATCATGCTTGTGAGACTGGTGTGGGTAGCTAAAAAGTACTGCTATGAGGTGTACTCAGTACAATTCTCAATTCTTGCTGTAGCCTGGATGATAACTGATTTTGCAAAAAAAATAAAAAATAATTTTAATTGAAATCTAATTGATAGGAATGTTTTTGGTCCATATTAGGCTTCTGTAACAAAAGCAATATAACAATAGCATTGTTATGCTTCTTTTGTTTGTTTTGAATGATACTCCTTCAGGCAAAACTTGGGTTAGAATTTTTAATGTAAATTTTTTGTATGCAAATATTTAAAGTAACATCTGATGAAGCACAAAATAGTAATTCCCACATTATCGGCTCATCAGGCATTTGGTCCACCCCTTAGACTAGTCCAACCTGTTGTTTAATTCAGAATAAATATTTAAAATAAAAGGCTGCCCAAGACCCTCTATTATATTTCTGAATAATTGCCTGCTAAGATAAGAAGGTTTTTGTTGAAGGTAATTTGTAATGGAAGTTTCATTGTGATCCAAATTCCAGGAGCTCCTGAATATCTCCTAACCCTAGTTTGTAAAGTCATTGCAGCCATGTGTCTCTTCATTTAGGCTTGCACTTTTAACTGAACATGTAACTCTGTTTTACTGACTGTTTTGACTCTCGTTTCACTCTGGTTTTTGCTCACATTGGAAAGCACTTCCTCTTGCAATAAGTTTCACTGATGTTAGAGAATCAAGTTTTCTGCAGAATGATTTGTTTAGTACTCAAAAAATGAACCTAATTTATTTTCTTGTATTAGGCTCTGATTTTGCAGTCAGAGTTTGTTGTGAGTGAAGCCTTGCAGATTGAAGCTCTCCCATTCATCTTCTAACATTGCACGTTCATATCAAATATGTGCACAGCAGAGTTAGGGAGCTGGTTAAGACCCCTCACCTCATTTTATCCAGTAATCCACTTGCTGTTGATCTTCAAACTTTGATTTAGAAAGCAACTCACTTTGGCAAGTAGGGTAGGGGCTTAATCACCAGTGTTGTTAGACATGCTAAGACTGTAGCAATGTCTTCTCTGCTACACAGTTCTGCTTTGATTGATGATGATCATGTTATTGTTTCCCTAAGTGGTGGTCAAAGCATCTTGTTTTTCTCTTCATTGGATAAGAATGGCTTTCCTTCCACAATGGAGTCTCTGGCTGAGTGCCCTCTGGCTTTTGTCAAACAGTTATTGGCACAGAGAGTGCATATAAAGGAAGTATAAAGTAGCTGTATTTCCTTCTTAATGGCATACAGTGTCCAGGTCCAAAAATGGCTGGTTGTTGTTCATCAAAATTATAGATATGGTTTCTCCATATAACTTCGCTAAACAGCTTCGGTTAGGTTGACCTTCAGGTAAAATGGGCTCTGGAAAACTCAGTCTTTCTCTATACCACTAAATGAAATTTGCTTGGGAAGATACTATTACATTCTTTTACTCTCAAAACCAGATAGTCCCCATGCAAAGTGATTCTTGGGAATGGTTGTGGGCCCATGATAGCCTCTCAGCTGTGCTCAGGAATTGTTTAGGAGAATGCTAGTTGGCCCAGGCCAAAACAGTGGCAGTCACCGTTCTTACTGTTTAACTTTACAGATGGTTTACTTTCAGTTTTTGGGAAATGTTCCCTGGTACTCTTTAACTTGCTAGTATCACTGTAGCCTCAGAGTCTGTAAATTGTCCTGTCAATAATACAAAAGGTATTATTACAGGCTAACTGGTCCATAATGATTAAATTTTCAGTTTTTTTAATTTCCACCAAATATCTCTTCTTTGAGATAAATTTAAATCATTAGTACCATAGCATACACAATGCACTGCCAATTGAGATGGATTTTTACCCCCTTTCATCTTGCATCTTCTTAAGGTTAATTAGCCCATTGTGGGCAAAGCCCACTGCGTAAACTAGCTAGTAAAATCTCATTGTTAAATTTTTCTTCTGCCATATGCTAAATAGCCCCTACATCCCCTTTTTGTTGCCTGGCAAATACTTGCATGCATAAATTTCCATTCCTTAATGATACATAATGGAGCAGTCATAGTGAGTGGAAAAAAATATTTATTTTAATCATTCATCATAGAAAAACAGTAATATACTCAGATGTTCTCCAGTATGTACTCAACACTAGTACCAATTTTCTGCACCTAGTTAACCCATTTCTGTTTCCTTCTCTACCCTGCTTTGGCTGATAGTTCACATTTATATCTGATGCTAAGAATTGTTTAAGAAATATCTTTTTTGGAAGCAGGCTTCCAAGCAAGCTTTTCTTCCAATTGAGCCTATGGTTCTTGTAGCAGCACGTATATGCTCAGCCAGCAGGACAATTGTTCTACATCATTCTTTGCATGAAGGATTTTCTGAAGCTAAGTCCCTGATGACTCACTATCCTATACTTCAAGTCTACTTCTTGTGAATTCCACTGCAAGCGTGTAATGTCTTCTCTTTTGGACCCAGTCCCAAAAATGCACTTCAGAAGTCTCCCTTATATTCAAATATTTACCTGTTTTCACTGATGCTTACAGGGCTGGTAACTCTATTTCCTGTGGCAAAGCCCATCCATTCTGTCCTACATGTTTGTTTAAAGGACAGTGTCAACATTAGTAAGATCCTCACTTTTAAAGAATATGTTTGCTGTTTGCTAAGACAGGGAACTAGTGACACTATAGTAGTGAACATTACATTTAAAATTCTCTTTTGTGTTTCTCTTTACTCATGCTAGACAGAGAAATTAGCCTGATTAGTTTCACTGGTTGATACAAGTTTATGAGGGATTTCCACTTTCATGTTGTTGCATCCAGTATTATTTATGGGTTTCCAAAAAGGTACAAAACCCAGCTAAATTTTGCAAAATACTTTTCTTTTTTTAAATGCAGTATTTGCTTTTATGAAAGGTTTGAACTGGAACACTTGAAAATAATGCTAAATTGCAAAAGATGGAAATATTCAAAGTACAGTTCATTTTGTCTTCTTTATGTAGTGCTCAAACTGGACTTTTATTTGCAAAGATTATTAGATTTGTCAAAATAAGATAGCTTCATTTCTCAATGAAAAGATCCATTAACTTTAAATTCAGTTATTTTGTTCTGAAACAAGTGGTTTTTAATGTCAGAACTATTGTGTGGTTCTAGGATGATATGTTGAAGAATCCTCTCAGCTGTGGGATATATTTCTCTAGATAATGTAATTATACCATCTTGTGGCATCAAATGCTGAGCAAGGTCTCAAAATTACTGCTATGTTTGCTCAGCATAATTCCTAATATGGAGTTATTTGGTGGAATTCTAATTCATACAGAATTTTAGTTCCGGCTCATCTTTGTTCTTCAAACCCCTTCTTATTTTCTAGGTGACTGTAGATAGAAGAGTTCACCTGCTGTTTTCAGCTGTTCTTAAAATTCACATTCTCTTTTCTTCTTAGCTTTGTGTTTTTGCCTATGATCCCTTGCAGAAAACTAGTGCTTCATCTTGCTTCTAGCTATTAATACTGGTTCTGTGAACCTTTTAATGTCATCATCATTACCATAGGTTCTTTGCACATCACTTAAGCCTGGGCTGCCTTGAAGATTCACAGAAGCTTTTTCCAAGAATGCACACATCACTGGGTAATATGTACTTAGTGGTTTTTGAAATCTTATCAAGAGAGAAATTTGATTCAGCAGCAATTACTTTCCTTATTATTAGGGCACTAAATTCTGTTCTCTGTTTGCTTTTGGCCCATTGGTAGCAGTTACATTTTTATATTTTTAGCCCTCTGATTCATCCAAGTGAAAGAGAAGTCTCTCCTCTTTGATAGTCACTTAAAAGAGTTAGCAGGATTAGAATGTTTCTTTATGATTAGTGAATTTTCTATTCTACATCTCTCATGTGTGGAAATGGAGCATTAGTTGCATCGAGTTTTCTTCATTTAGTCTTGGAAACCCTCAGTTCTACATTTAACTTTAATAAAACAGGTGGATTTCACTATTCTGTTGCAGCCTGTCTGGATATTTAACTGAATCCTGTGTATTTCAACTAAATTCAGAAGAATATGTGGAAAATGGAATAGATCTTGGCTGCTCTGGGCATCATCAGTATAAGTAGACTGAAGACAATATGCTGTGTAAGGGTTGAAGAGGTTAAGAATAGAAAGAAATCGGAAAAATCCTAAGTAGCTGACAAGCCCAAATAACCATGACAAAGCTGGGGCAGCAGTTCACACTAACTGCATCATTCATGCATTTTCCATCTATAGTATTTATCATTTAATATATTTTCAGCAGACTCCACACACAATTGCCTGTTACTTCCTGTTGAAAGCGTAGGGGCAAGCAATAGCATCTTCAATGTTATTGTGCAGTAACTGTGGCAATTACCCACTTTTTAATTATAACTGTTGTGACTTGTTTCACTGCACTATCTAATCTGTACTCACAATGCATTTTAACTCCTTAGTGTTCCTCTACCGTTAAATAGGAGTAATGACACGGTGACAAACATTAAATGGCCTCTTTGTTAAATCTGATAATTATTCCCTTTGATTCCTAATTGCTTTATTCCTAAGTAATGCTAAGCACCTGGATATTGATGATTTAAACGTCATTCTTGTTCACTCCGTTAGTGCTTCCTAGTAGCTAATACCCATCTAACCTCCATTACAGAACCTGCATTTATTGTTCTCTGTGTGCTAGTAGACTGTTCCCGCTGTTGCTTCACTTTTACAATTCTGTGTATCACACACTTTTTATGCTCTTTTCTCTAGCAAACTTACTTGCCTGAAAAAAAATGACAATGGGTGTAATGTACAGCCTCTTACAGTTAGTTGCCTTTTCTACCCTGTGCCATCATTTAATTTTCTGACCAACTATACATCTGACAGAAGTTGCTTTTTAATAGACTGTTACCAGCCACTGCACTATATCTGGTACTTGAAACACGAGAAAAGATTTCTTCCATTAAGTTATGAGGCATACTTATTGTGTGTA